GATTGAGTGATTGACCACAAACAAAAAGTGCTCGATTATAATGTGTAGTCGGTTAGTCAAGACCTGGTTGACTCTTCGCCTCAGGTCTAGTTACAAGTTTAAATCGCTGCCCCGGGGGGCTAACTCTGCCCATCATCTCTATGGCGGTCGATAAAGTGAGTAATGCTGGGCAGGGATTCAAAAGTGACCGCTTTATGGATAAACTGGCCCCTGCCACAAGAATAGCAATGCTTGTTTGAGCATAGAAGAGAAAGGGATATAAGTATTGGTTTTACCCTTTCTGGCAATAAAACAGTTGTGTTAAGATGTTAAAACAGCAAACACAAACCTTTTGCAAGGAATCATACAGTCTGCATTAAACACACATATAATTGTGGTGGACACGCAAACAAAACCATGCTCTGGTAGTATATGCATTGGTTTTTTTTACTAATTGGTCCACACCAGAGACAGCTTTCTTTAGAGCCTAGTCTCAAACAGTGCTAGACCAGATGACACCAAAAGGTGAACAGCAGAGCATGTTTCTAGATTTGAAGCTTTCGTGACTGCAAGAATTCATATTCTTAGGTTTTTTCGGTAAAGTCACGTTGGTAAAAAATTAATAAAAGTAAAATAAAATAAAAATCACGACGTTTCGGAGGCAACACAAGCTTCCGTCTTCAGGTGGAACCGTCACAGCCACGATAGCTGTATCAAGTAAATAGAGAGCATGTTTTTGTTTGCATGTTCACCACAAGTATATGTGGTTAATGCAGACATGATTCCTTGCAAAAGGTTTCTGTTCGGCGTTTTAACATCTTAAGACCCCCCGTTTTATTGCCAGAAAGGGTAAAACCTACGCTTATATTTTGATATGCTGGCAAGTGAATTCCCATGACGAAGGCGAAGGGAGAAACCCACCAGCACACTACAGTGCCCTCTGTTGGTGTGGGTTTGAACAGCTGCTCCACATGAATTGCCAAAACGTTGTGAATTTCTGTGAAGGCACTGTTGCGCAACATATGTTGGATTCTCATTGTTAGACTTAAACATCGCAGGGCATAATACTCATACACACAAAAAAAAATATATATACACGTGTGTCAAGTGATGAATGGAGCGGTTTAGAATAACCGTCTGAATGTTTAAAACATTTTAATGTGCACCCTCTTTGTGATGGCAGGAACACAACATGCCTGCTCTTTGTCTGGCCCGCTCCGCGCCTCTCCAAACTCCAACAAATCCATTAAAGGGAAAAGTCCTGACGGTCGTTCACATCGAACTTGTTCCCGTGGAATGTCCCAGTGCAGTCCGAACGTGAGAGAAGAGCACGCTCTTGTCTAACAAGGGGCTGCCACGCTCCCTCAAAGAAGTTGACAGAGAGGGGGATCTCAGAGATAAAGAACAAACGATGAGGTTGCTGCGTGAGTGTGCCCAAGGGACTTTGGGAAACTCACTCGCACAACGTTCTGGTATTCTCATCATTAAGGGGATACCTGATTACAATATGGAACAAAAAACCCAGATATGATATCCCCGCTGCATTTAACCCTTTCGTATCAACACACATTTAACGCCACAAATTGAGGACCGGATTCTTGTATTGGTCTAAATTGATGTTGTGTTGATCTTCATGAGGACAAAAACGTACTAACTGACAGAAAACAGATATATTGTAACTGCCGGATGATTATGACAAAAAGTAGATACATGTATTTCAATAGTAAAACAGGAATCCCAGCATGCCTTGCATGTTAAGATGACGTTGGCACTGCTGTGCATATTCTTGCACAATCCTGCGGTAGCCAAAGGTGGCAGAGAGGCGAGGTTGCGCTGTGTTTCCTGCACAATATTTGGTGGAAAGAGTTTTTTCTGCCCTGACACAAGTTGAGGTACCGATTCTCATCAGAGATCCCGCTGAATGTGGTGCTGGTGACGAGATCAATGCACTCCAAATGTTATTGATTTGCCATTGAATGACAATTACACTGTAAAGGTATTACAGTGGTTTTACATATATATCATTGAAAATTGACAGGTTATTGTTGTGCAATTTGTGCTTATAGTACGTTATGTAGGTATATTACTGGTAGAAACCTCCTGGTTACACCAGCCCACAGGGTATTATTGTGTCCGTCCGTCGTGCAGGCAGGGGCTGGGTGGGGAGGGAGGGACTGGGTGGGGAGGGGCTGGGTGGGGGGTGGGAGGGGTGGGGCTGGGTGGGGAGGGGCTGGTCACCCCGTGGTGCCCTTATAAAATCAACGTTTAACCTACTCACACCGGCTTGTGCCCGCCCTCACAGTCGGCCATATTTGCGGAATACACCACGCCGCCGTTGACCCTGGCCATTGACCGAGCAACCCAACGTTCCTACCAGCTCCCTCCGCAGGGATGTGTTTGTTTATTTGTAGGGATTTGTTTACCTTTCCTATACTTTTCACTCCAGCGGGTTTTGTATCGTTTGTTGTTGTAGCGTTTTGACCCGCCTCGACTGGACTTCTGTTTGAAAAGAGCTTCATAGCTCATCAGATTACTCCCGGATAAATAAATATCAAGATTCTGACATTAGATATATATGAACACACTAAGTTATGAGATTCAGAACTGGTTTACAATCAGTTTTTATTAAATGTCAAAAAGAATACTTTACACCCAATCAGAAGATGATGAGTTCACATCTCAGGCAGAGTACTGATGCAGCATTACATCTCTCCACGGTTTATAAAAAAAAATAAGCGCCACCACGTTCAAAGAAAGAAACAGCAGCGATCTTATCAAAAGACTGATTGCCTGTCATATCGATACGGATTGTCCACATTACTTCTGGCTCAACAATGCCCAGGCTTTTAATTGGCACACAATGACATTTAATATTTTGATAAGTGTTGATACGGTTTCCCAACTATATATATATATTCAGATCATTTTTAATATGCATTATGTAACAATAACAATTCCCTACTGTACCATTGGAGGACACAATAATAGCATACGGAACAGAAATATAGCATACTACAGTAGAGTTTAACGTGTTCCATTGTGTCGTTATATTCACAAAACTACCAGGTTTATGGGCAGTTTTTACGTGAAAGTATAAATAAAAGCACTTCCCTAATTTTTCTCCAGAAAAAAATGCAACTGTAATAATTAGATAGCATGACCTTTAATGCAGAAAATTTAGGGCTATTTTAGGGGTCCCGAATTGGGATGTGTTTGGCTAATTCCGTTGGAGGGTAGCGGAATACCACGAGAAAATCCACCCCCTACGGAGGAATAGCGCTCATAGCACCACACAGATGGGTTCCAGCGCGCATTGAGGCACTGCCATATCCTGTCCACCTCACAGACCATGCACGTGAACGTCTGGTAATCCCAGATGTGGGAGCATAGTACGGTACAACAACGGATGTTCCTGCACAGCTATCCGCTGCCCACAGTGTAACCCAGAAGCAGCATCAGCAGCAGCCTATAACACCTGCTTAGCGTGTTAGATCTGATGAAATGGGGCACATTGGAGGTGATCTGGTTTCAATTGACTGACTGAGCAATGCACATACATACATACACACGATGACAGGGCAATTATTAAATGTATTCCAGCTTCGGTTACTTCCATTGAATCCTGCTGGGATTGAAAGGGGACAATATAACAATGCTCCCATGACAGGCTGAAGTGGGCCCTGTGTATACACTCCAATGCATACAGCGTCAGGGCATTGATATACTGCCACGGGGCCTTAACACAACAATCGCACCATAAAACTGACGCCTTCAGAACGCTAGGTTGTGCACATATGTATTTTGCATCTGGATTCGTGTTTAATGCGCACACACTCTGTTCCTTTTTCATGGTTTCCAAATGTGCTGCTTCATATCTTGGAAGTTGTCTTTATTTTAAGATGCGCGGTACTTTTTTCGAGGATGCATTCGGCAAACACGTATCAGCCTTATAATTTATCAGCAAAGTATCAGGGCTAATGGGATTCCTGACATGTCTTAACATTTCCTCTTTGTTCAGACAACCCATACGTGTGAACCTTTGAGTGTTATCCCCTTGATGGCAAGGGGTTTTCTCCAGGTACTGCGAGTTTATTTCACATTTTCAAAACACTAAGTGAAAAGGAATTGGCCAAGAATGCAAATGGAAGGATAATCCTAATAGTAAAAATAATATAACATTTTAAGACTTCATAAATGAGAAAAAATAATTCATTTAACATCAATATGGAGTTATTGAATGCCAAGAGTTACTCTCCACTGTGTTTACCAAAATCTCAAAGTCCATAGTACAACGTGGCTATGTATCTTATGCAACTAAAAAATTCCCCTTTGCAGCACGTCCAACCACAATTGTTGGCACTTTGCGCATCCAATGTTTAGGGACACTTGGTACCAAAATAATAAAGGATGAGATATTCATAACCGTGTTGAATGCACTTCACAGATGGGCTATTCTCTTGTTATTTTTGTTGATGATGGTATCTATAGGGCCTGTTTGCCAGTATCCAAAATGATGAAAAATAACAATAGGTTTTACCCTTTCTGGCAATAAACAGGTGGTTAAGAAATCCCAAACACCAAAATAGATTACCAGAACACGTTTGTTTGCATGTTTTGTTTTTTGTCACAAGCATTTTTGTTAATGCAGACTTGACGCCTTGCAAAATGTGTCTGTCTACTTGGTGTTTGCACATCTTAACATCTCCTGTTTTATTGCCAGAAACGGGTAAAAACCTCTTCTTATTTTTCATCATGATGGTATATAGTTGCTGGTCGCTTTGGGGGAGAGGTTGGGTGGGGGGAAGTAAGTTTGGACTATTGGAGCCTTTTCGCGTGCATTGGTGGTGGTGGTGGTGGGGAAGGGTGGACGGGGTGGGTGGGTTGGTGGTGGGGGGGGGGTTCAAGGGGGTCTACGTTCGCCTCCTCCCCCCTACCCCCCCATCCCATCCCGTGGCAACTTCCCGTCACCACACGGGCTCACACGCCCCCGCTCCGCTATACAAAGAGGGGGCTCCACGGGCTGCGAGTGCTACACGGGGAGAGGCGCGTGTCGCGCTTGGGCAGGCTTGCCTCGGAGCGTGCGCTCGGACCAACAAAAACTTCACCATGAACGAAGCCAGGCCACTCCGCGAAGGGGGATCAATGGTGGGGCAGGAGTTGCACCGTGGTCTGAAGAACATTTGAAGTGGAATAACAAAGCAAAAAAATTCCCAAACGCACGCATGAGAAATTTGTCTCTTCGAGGAATTGTTGAAAATTGAAGGCGTTTGCGGTAAATTGCATTTGACGATTGCAAAATAACTTTTGCGTGGAGCGCAAGTGGTACAAAAATGATATAGATAGGGTATTTCATTTTTTAGCTTTTACTCCCCATTTACATGCAAGATCTCATGCGAAATATTATATACTGCAAAACAAACCACCGATTACCGCACGTATCTTTGCGACTTTTTGTTATTACGATACAAGATTTTACAAACGAATGGCATGCGCGTCGTGAGCGAAAATATCGGCAGCGATAACAATAGTGTGCTTCGTTTCGCAAGAAAATGCGACCTTGGAGAGGATTACTGCGAGCACTCGTGCTCATGGCCATGTGGCCTGCACGCTTCGTCGCTCCATTAAGTTCACCCCACCGCGTCTCCCGCGAGGAGACCGCAAAGCCACCCACGGGCGCGCCCTTCAACAGCAGCGGCAGCGCGGATCCAGACCTCACAGATACATTCCAGGGCAGCGACGGCAAGGGCCAGGCTCGCACCGGGCAGGCAGCCGTTGCTGCTGCTGCTGCCGATCTCCTAGAGGACGGTCCGAACGCCGGCGACGGAGCGCGCGGAGCCGGTGAATGGGCGGCACCGCACGCGGACAGCTTCTGGGATGAGTCTCAAGGTCGCCAGCGCACGCAGAGTCCATGGGAGAGTCAAGTAACTGGCACTCGCGCGGGAGAGGATGTCGAACAATGGGAACTCAAGAGAGGGCCAAAGAGAGGAAGCTTCGTGGGGGTGGAGGCATGGAGACGTGGGGCCAGGTCTTCTCAGCTCCAACACAGCAGCAGCGGCGGCGGTGTCCACAAAAGCAGGTAAGGAGTTCAAAGCCAGGGGCAATTGTAACTTAAGCAGGCGTCATGCAGTCATCTCCGTATGTGTTCCGAGGTCATGGACTTCAATGGTTTGTTTTAAATGAGCTGTCGACCCGTGGCTTATTAACACAGCCTTGATCACAACGACGAATATTCAAAGTGGCCCCATGCTTAAACTAACATTGGGTAGTGCTCATCTCTGCTTGTCCTCAGCTGGTTTTGGAAACTCCACATTCCCCGTATGTCCACAGGGCCCGGTGTGTCAATAATATTTATCGTCAGAGGACTACCACTATTGATTTCCGACAACTGGCACTCTATTGAGCTTGAGTGAAATGGAGAAAGCATAGGATGTAAGCTTTTGTCAACGGGATTGTGTAGATACGTGAAATGTCTTCAGGATTGCGCCTTGGTATTCAAATCAAAAGTATCCTGCATGATAATGAAAGCATGATATTTTTTGTTTTTTTCGGTAAAGTCACGTAGGTAAAAAATTTAAATTAATAAAAGTAAATTAAAATGAAATAAAAATCACGACGTTTCCGAAATCACGACGTTTCCGAAACGTCGTGATTTTGATTTTATGTTTAGTTTACTTTGATTAATTTTATTTTTTATTTTTTACCTACGTGACTTTACCGAAAAAACCTAAGAATATGAATCATTGCAGTGACGAAAGCTTCAAATCTAGAATGAAAGGATGGTACAAATACAAAAAAATATTAGTTTAATAATGATACTTCTGGCTATCACATAGAAGCATAGGCTAAAAACACACATCACCAATGTCACCACGAGCATTGCCTTATGAATGTTCCATAGTGGTTACCCTATGGATGGCCCTGGCCATTGGCTAGGCAAGGTCTGCCAACACTGCCTAACACTTGTTTGAGCGTGGAGAGACGTTTGGACCTATTTTAGATTTCTCAAAAAAAGATATATGATAAGCTAAACTTTTTGGCAACGGCCCTCATTGAGAGTAGAGAGCAATTTCAAAACAAAGGCTCATGTGATGTGGTTGCCTATTATAGGTAGGGTGTTGACTGTTGTGTTAGCCGACTCTCTGTGTTGCATTGCATTATATTTCAAAGTTTACTAGGTTTGTTTTCTCATTCATTCTTACCTGATGACGGTTGCTTGTGTTGCAATCGAAACGTCGTATTCTATTATTATTTAATTTATTTTCTTTCTACGTGACTTTACCGAAATAACCATGGAGCAAATTTAGTTTGCCTATTATATATTTATAAACAATATATTTGTTAATAAAACAGATAAATATATTGCTGATATGTGTAACAGATGACGAAGACCGCTGAGGCTATAACTCTTTTTTTTTTAAGACAGTGTCAGTGGCAATATGAGAATGGATTCAGCAGCATGCTTATCCACCAATGCCAAGAAAATCGTTTTGGCTTTATATGAAGGCAAAGTCAAATTTCAAAGTGTTTCCCAAAGAGCACTGAACCGCTGGCAGAAATTCCACATTGCCATAGTGGGGGCCATTTGTCTATGGTATGACCGGGGTTGATGTTCCACAGAGCAGTACCCAATTTATTGACCCCACAGGGAAAGTGGGCTGCCACGGCGGACACTGAGATACATGTACAGAGCCTTTTAACTATTCATAAAAGTTCCTGACATGGAAATTATTCATTGCATTGCCGTGAATAATAATGATAATATGTTGCCATCTGCTGAATGAAATCCTCCCCCTGGTTGTTTGACAATAAACCACTTTGCTGGCCAATGCGGGTTGGTGAAGGTGGGGGGCCCAAACTGCTTCAGGTTTCACTCGCCCACGAAGGTTAGCCGTGGCTGGGAACTGAATTCAGGTCGTCGAGTCCACCACTGGATAACGCATTTGTTAATATAACCGTGGCCTTAAAGGCATCGGGCCCATCTTCATAGCACGTAAATACCGCGTATACAGTAGATGTACTCTCACCGCATTGTGCGAAAACACGCGTTAACGATTACACAAAACCAACCGATTAAACGATGGAGTCCGGGTGGTTTCACTGCACATGCTTTGCTGGTTTTACGTACAAATGACACAGTGCATTAGTCAAGAGCGCTATTCGTATACGGCGAGGCCTGCCAACACAGCTGCAAGCATCCCGGAATGACATACTGTATCTCATTATAAAAGTTGGAGGGTTGGGAGCCATCTCAAGGGGTTGTCCTTCTATAACAACATGACCAACACGCTCCAAGTTTATGGTCGGCTGGTTATGGCTGAGTGGTTCAGCTTTAACCCCGGCACGGAGTCAATTTGCACAGATTTGGCGGGTGCATTCCCTTGGTAGGCACGTATAATTAATACTGTTGGGAATGAGTTCACACGCGTGCCGTTTGATGGAAAGTGGACATTAAAAGGCCCGACCCCTGTGAAATTATTTTTTTTTTTTTGCAAAAGTAAGCAGTCGCCGTTCCCTTGGTTGAGAACAAATTTGTCGTGAAATTCGGCAAAAAAAAATGCCACACTTCTAAAAATTACAAAATCGTTTTGCGGCGCGGTTGATTGAATTATCTTTTTTATATGAAGTAAATATTTATAAACACATGTTAACAATACGTTTTGGCGCTTCTGGAAAAGAAATAAATCACAACATGGATTGAAGTGGCTTTAAATGCGAGCACATTTATCGCAAGGCACCGTGACAGAAACGTAAAAAAATAAAACTCGTGCAAAACGCTCGAGTTAAGTTCCGCGGTAGACGGTGGAATAAATCAAAACATATTCACTTTACGGATATTACAATAAATTAGTAGCTAATGAAAACCAAATTGAGTTTGTTCTCCCAATTAGCTGATCAAGTAATGATGCTGTGTAAGCCAATGCTTTAATTTGATATTTCCCAGAGCGCTACTGGTATACAAGTGTCGGCGTCACTGAGATTCTGCGTCGGCTATGGAACTGAAACCCCACCCAAGATGACAGTAAAACTTTGGGTTTAAAAACAATTGATGGTCTTGACCCATTCAACATCTACAAAAAAAGCTTGAAGGTTAAAGGTTACATTTAATTTGGTCAAACATGTACGTTGTTAAACAGACAAGTCAAAATGCCTTCATTCTGAAATGAGCATGGGGAACAAGCCAGTAGTGGAAAATCCACATTCCCATGGCAGGGTCCTGTTTGTCCATTATCACAACCGCTGTTGTTACAGTGCACCCGATTCGTATGTTAAATACATCGTTATGCTCACGAGACTTGTGCTCCACACCGCGCCTGTGAGAATCCAAAGCAGAGCCCTGGGGTTGTGGTAGCGCAGTGCCTCAGGCACAGAACCCGGCCACCTTGAATCTGGGCTTCAGCTCACCTTAGTTTAAAGCGACAACTAAGCCAGTGCTGGGCTCCCCTGCCCACTTCACTCACTCATACTGACCCAGCGTGGCAATCTTATCTTGAAGGAATTGATATAGCGCCTTAAGTAAGGCGCTTACAAATAATTAACAATGGTGCATTATGGGTGTGATGGTGAAGATGAGGAAAATCTGCGATGCGTAGATTCGGTAAAAGCGAAATTGAGGACGGTAAATGAAGACGAATAGATTGAACAAATGGGGATTAATGAGGGACAGCCATGTCATGAGAATATGAAGTGGGAAAAGTAACGGTGGTGGTTACGAGGGGTCGTGGGGTGAGCTCGGGAAAATGAGTGAGTTTTGAGTGGACGGTCCAACAACCCCCCCATGCCAGACGCGGCGTTGGGCAAAACTTTCGTCCAGCAGAAGCGCGTGGACAATGGGCCGTGCATACACTTTGAAGTTATATTTTCACGTGATGTACACGCTGCACATTAAACCTTGTAGCAATGGAATATTATACATGCACCGCACGCAATTGGCAAATAAAAACAGAATACAATTTTGGATAAAATCGTGACCTCCAAATTAATGTATGACAAGCCATGGCGTGATTTCTGTTTGTTGCCTTTCCATACATCATCCGACTCCTTTGCCAGCTCTCCAGAAGTACGAAGTGGATCCTGCACGAGATTTGAACTTGCAACCTTTGGATTGCGAGTCCAGCGTTCTGGCATAGAAACACTCTGCTGGAACTACACAGCGGAGTGAAATATAAATGTATATCAAATATCGCCGATGAACATATCTAAGGAGTTAGCATAAGTAAACTCCATGAGAAAAGCTTCCAGGAAAGAGATACGGTTCCACTTTTATTTTCCTGGAATGAACAACTTTTATGTTTTTTTACGCGTGTGCAGTAGCCAGCACTCGTGTGCATTTCAAGAGACCGTTTTTTCTTGTCTGCTCCTCTATGCTTGGCAGGCCCAACTTTCCGTATTGCGTCCGACTTTTCACGACGACGGCAGGAGTGAACGTGCGGTTTATGCAACAGTGAACCAACCCCACTGCACTGGGTTCACAATGCATTTGTCACTCTATCTAGTTATACTGCCAGCTGGGCAACCTGTATACAGGGACTCCTCTACTTACGAACATTTGACTTACGAACTTTCAGAGATACGAACAAACCTCTCCGTATGTCCAGTTGCCTGCTCGGACCGAGAGTCGTTAGTTCAACCGCCGCGCAATAGATGGTGGTGGTGGCATCTACGTCTGCAGAACGTGAAGAGCCGGTGGCATCTACAGCTACAGGAGATTATACAACTTTTAAAGCCATTCCCCGTGTTTAGTGTACACGCCGTACAACATGTTTAGAATCGACAGGAGTAAAGTTGGGCTTACGAACAAATCGATTTATGGACAGACCTCTGGAACCTAACTCGTTCGTAAGTAGAGGAGTCCCTGTAGAAGGAAATGCGATTTACAGTGCAGGATAGACGGGTTACTGCATGGCGCGTTTTCTGATGCACTTCTGCGGCCGTCTGGAACGCTCTTCCTTGCGATATTAGGAAGCCACTGGAGCCTATGCACTTAAAAAATTTGATTGACAAACTATTTTTTAAAACTGCTTTTTGTGTTTAGTTTGTTGTCCTTCCCCTCCACCTCTGATTAACACGGTTGGCTAC